GGGCTGTCTGGTGGGTGTTCCCTCGAGGTAGATATCAAAAAAAAAAAAAAAAAAAACCTCAGTTGTAAGCAACCAACAGAGGAACGGTGCTTACACTGTTACAGAGCTAAAATTATATTATGCTACCATTGAGATGTCATGTTTTGAAGAATCTTTCATGGTATGGAAAAATGATTATGTAGAATATTCAGTTAAAACAAATGCAGACTATGAAATCTCATTTCCAGTGAGATTTTTATTTTATAAAGTACAGAGAAATATAAAGAAAGAACACACTATAATATTAACAGTATTTGTCTTTGAGTGCTGAGGTTCTGGAAGAATTTTTTCCTTTTATATTTATTTCTGGATTTCTTATTTATACTAATTTCTATAGTTTTCAAGGAATATAGATTATTTTTATACCAGAAAAAAAATGGATTAAAATAAAGTAATAGGAAGAAAGTAACCTGTGCTGATTGAGCCCAGTCTTAGCAAACTTTTAAGTCTGTTACCAACTGGGGAGGTTTTCTGTCTGTCTAACTAACTATAACCTGATTAACCTTCTCCCCTGGAGAAAGCCCTCCAGAGAAGGCAAGTCTAGTCCTAGGTCACGGGCACACTTTTTCTCTGCATCTGAAGGCCCATTGACTGAGGTCACCCTAGGATGTCACTGAACTCAGGCCTGGTCGCCACAGTCCACAGAGCAAATGTCCTGACTCCTTTATCTCTGTTCTTGATTGAATTGAATTACTAACTAGAGGTGAGGTGGCATCTAACTCAGAAAGCAAGCAACTGCTCACCACACACACAGCTGTGTGCCTCGTCCTAATCTCTAACACAGGATTAAATTAAATAACAGATGGAGCACAGCTCCTGGCACCAAGTAGGAGCTCAGTAAATGGCGATGTCCTCCTTTCTATCCTTTTACATTTGCTGCACAAGAACTCAGCTCTTCATTTCCTTCCCCCAGCTCAATACTTTCCCAAGGGGCAGAGGCAGCACCTGGGGGCTCCAAACTCTCTTCTCTCCATCCACCCGGGCCTCTAATTCTCCTTGGTCAGCAAACAGAATCTGTCCGCCCACTGTCAAGACACAGAGAAGGTGGCTGGTGGGCAGCCTACTGGCTCCATGGGGCTACACAGGGAAGGTGGCAGTATGGAAAGGGGGTGGATGACTGGAGACCCCTACCTTGCATCCTCTCTAGCCAGGCTAGATAATACACCCAGGACCCTGACTAACAGAACCCACTTTATGAACATTATGTCCATTTATTAAGACAAAAAATAATTGCTTCTGAGCTCTTGGAACCCTCCCAGCATCATTCTGGTCACTAAGCATGGGGAATTAAAGAGAGTCTCTCTCTCTAGTTGGAAAGTAAGGAGTGCCCATGAACCTTCATCATGAAAGCTTAAAGAAATGAGAGGCGACTGTTTGGGAAGCTGAGAACCATTTTATGTAGTTCAGTTCAACAGGCAAGGAATCTAGCTTCCTCTCTCAGACTCACCAAACTCTTCAGCCCCAAACCATGAACTCCCTGGGAACGGTTTCAAGTAGAAGTCATATGGCCCTAACTATCCTTTCCCAAGATACTATTTAAATACTCTCTTTTGTTAGTTGGTGGCTTGGTAAGCTTAAACAAATCATTAAATGTCCCCTAGCCCCAGTGTCCTCACTTGTGAAACTGAGGTAAAGAGAGCATTGCTGTAAGAGACACATGAAATCCTACACAGAAAGCCTCAGATACACCATGTTGGAAGAGCCAGTGCTTCCCCTACTGCACTTCAGAAACAGATCAAGTGGAGGTAACAGAGATTGGTGATGAATGGCAGAGGTAGAGCCTCTCAAGGTGGGGTGCCTGGAATCCAATGCCAGCCATTAAACTTCTCTGTGCTAGAAGGTCCCTGTCTACAACAGGAGGTTCCTAATAGTACCCCTGCTTTGCAGGGCTGTCAGAGTGGTGAGTTACCATATGAAAGGGGCTTAAAACAGTGTTTGACACATGGTAAGAACTAAGCATTTTCTTCTTCCTTTTTTTACGCCCCCAGAAAACACGCTTGTGGGGGTAATTGGTCATGTAGCAATTAGCACATCATTTTCCCTCCCATGCCATCTCATAGGGTACTTACTACTAAGTATTGAGGAATGGGCTGTCAGCTATGAATACAAACAACCCCCCCCCACACACACACACACACTCACACACACACACACTACTGAATCATGGACCAAGCAAACCTGACAATGACAACTGTTTGTCTTGTTAAGTAAAAAATCACAAGACACTATTTGAAGCAGGAGTATACTCTTGCACTCCCAGTTGTTGAGGTACAGGAGCACTGCAGTTAGAGTCATACAGACCTGGGTTTGAGTCCTAGCTTTGCTCCTTATAATGACCTTACGCAAGTCACATAACCTGAGTTTCCTCCCTAATAACAGTATCAGGGTGGGAGATGAGGAGTAGATAACTTCCCAAGTGGGAGCCACATAGTTCTTGGCAGGTCCTGACTCCCTTGTGCCCAGACTAGCAGTCCTGAGAAGCTTCTTCCTTTTCCTGCAAAGACCCAGCTCCGGCAAGTCACAGAGCTGCTTTACTTGGCCCTGCCACTCCAGTGAGCTGCTTGAAGAGTGTTAAAATAATGGCAGCTGCCAAGCTCTGGAAGGCTGCAGTGCTAGCCAGGGGTCCTGGCCCCCACGCTGCTGTTTACTCAAACTGCTGAGCCTCTCCTGGTGTTTGCGACTGTTTACTGGACAGAAGGGCACAAGACGGCTGGGCCTTTCTCCGGCCTCCAGCTTTCACAGGCATTTCCTTTGGAGAAAACTAGCCTGAGAGCAGCTCACTCTAGGAACAACTTCAACGAGATTCCTTGGAGGTGAGCAGGACTGGGGCTCAGGCTCCCACACCCACTCTGGGAAGCAGGGAAAGGGCACAGGTGAGGGGTCGATAGAAAAAAAAAAGGAGAAATGGGGACAGCAATTTAAAAAAAGAAAAAAAAAAAAAAAAAAAAGAGCTGTGACCAGGATCAGAACACAGGACAGAAAGGGCAGGGACAGAAATGGAGCAGGGTCAAGAATAGTGAGATGGTACAGGCTGGTACAGGGTTCAAGGCAGAGGGAGAGAGAAAGAGAGAGAGAGAGAGACAAGGAAGCACAGAGAGGGGGAAGCCCTGCCTGGCAGGCTTGCATAATGCAAGGACCCCTCCACTGCCACAAAGAGGCTCTCGGGAAACCTAGGGACTCTCCAGGCAGAACTCCTATTTTTACCCTAATCTGTATATGCTTTCCAAGCAAGAGCAGCATAATTTAGTTAAATTAGGACTGGCAGGATTCACTTCTTATTTAAAACTTAAGATAGCAACAATAAAAAACCCTCAGTTGAGATGCCACCTAACAGAGCCAACTCCCCCGGAAAGCTAAAGTTAAGCGCCCCCATCCCAGCACCCTGTACCTTTAAAGAAGAGAAGGGTTCCCTCTGCTTCCTGTCCGAAGAGGCAGGTTATTCTAGGATATAGCGATGACTTACCTAAAACTGAGTTATTCCCCTTTCCTCCTCCGGCCAGCCTCTCTTCACTCTGGGGAGCTTTTACCATTTAAGGTCAATGTTACATCTGGCTCTGGAGCTCCAAAGCCTGTGGCTGCACAGCTCGGCCGCCCGCCTCCTCAGAGAGGGGTTGGAACTTAGAGCCCGGAGCTCCTCCGGGAGCCCCCTCTGGCCTAGCTCAGGGGGGCTAATGGCAGGGGAAGCTGACCAGACAGGCTCAGAGCTCAGGGCAGGCTAGGCCTGGGAAGCAACCATTCATCCTGGGCCCCTCCCAAGGGCACCTCCAAGGCACTGAACAAATTTGTGCCACTGGGCACTGTCCTGGCCAGACAGAGATGAAGGGGATTCTGCAGCTCTGCCTCCAGCCTGGAGACTCTAGCAAGCATGTGAACCTGGATAAGACCATGGCCTAGTGCCAACACAAACTGGGATGTTTCCTGTCCCAGGGACTTGGGAGCAGGGGCTGCTCCCACCTTAAACCCTTGGGATTATCAACGAGAAGGGCCTGGGAGATGCAGCTAACCCCAGACCTAGCACCAGCCCCAGGGGTGTCAAATCCTGCCCGTTGACTTCCAGTCCTGTGGTCTTAATATTGTGGATCCTCAGTCTCATCTCTAAAGCACAAATAGGAATGGCATCTCTCTCACTGGGTCATTAGGAGGTTAAATGAGATAATGTTCAAGTACTTGACACAGTGCCAGCATCTCAAAAGTGCTGAGTCCACACGAACTAGCTTCCTGCCTCTGTTTAGACTCAGGTGAGGGAGGGCTGCTGCCCTCCTGGAGGTCTACACCCTGTTCGTTCCCACTTTTCATCCACTTTGGTGCAGTGCCTACCCAAGGCCAAGATCACGGAGCGTCAAACTCAGCAAGTGCATGAGGGCTCCAGTCTCTTCTGGGTTTACAGGCAGCTAAGAGACTCCCTGGTTCAGATTGTCGGACAAATTACAGGACACCCATTAAATCTGAATTCCAGATAAACATGAGACATACTTGACCAAAAGATTATGTGCTGTTTATCTGAGATTCAAATTTAACTAGTCATTCTGCATTTTTATTTGCTAAATCTGGGACTCTTACCCTAAGCCATCCCTGCTGCCCAGAAAGTATTGACCAGTCATGGTCTAGAGTGCTAGGGATTAAAGCTCCAAGGCTGTGGCCTCCATCCCTCCCGGCAATGGAAGCGGGCTGTGCACAGTCCTTGTGCTCTGCCCTTGGCCACAGCTCTGTCACGCCAGCTGTGGCAGGCTTTCTCCACTGAGCCCAGCCCACTGGGCTCCCGGCAGTCCCTTCCTCAGGCACGGAGTACTGGACTCTCTCCTGCTGGTTGCTGTGAGAACCCAAATCCCTGCTGCAGTATGTGCTGTCTGTTGCCCTCATTAGTAACAGTATTTTTGTAAATAAAGCTAAAGGAGGTTGTCTTGGAAATTAATCATGCTTCCTCTCAGTGTACACACCTGTCCACTGGCAAAGCCACACGGTGGCAAGTACTAGACTTGCAAGTATGCAGATTAGAAGGAATTTACTAAATTCTTTAGCAGTGTTTCTCCCCCTTCAGCAGGGATGAGAATCCCCAAGAGCAAAGCTCCTTGGGCTCCTCTTCCAATAATTCTAATTCCATGGATCCGAAGTAGGACCCCAGAAATCTGCATTTTAACTAAGGCCCTTGAATGATGCTTGAATGTAGGTGGTTTGGCCCTCAAGCTCTTTCTTCTTTATCATACTGTCTCCCCTTCAGCTAGGGTTTCTAAACCTGAGTTCAAGGATGTGAGCCAGTGGCAACTGGATACAAAGCATTGCATGATTTGTGTATTTCTTGGGTAGAGTTCCACAGTTTTCACCAGACTCACATGGGGATCACCAGATAGCTTTTTAAAATTGACACATTTACACTGTATTTTATACAACACATTACTGTGAGTGTGTAAAATGAATAAGCTCTTTAGAGGACAACTTAGCAGCAGCAAGATTATAAGGCTCGTACCCTTTGACCCACTTCCACTTCTAGGAATTTATTCTACAAACACACTCCTACACTTGGGCAATGACAGATGAGCAAGATTACTCACTGCAGCATTGTTTATAAAAGCAAATGAAGGGTTGCCACCATGGCCCATAGATTAAGGGAACCAGTTTCCACATGGCTGACTGTGTGGTTCAAGTTCTAGACCCAGCAGCTTAAAAAACACACTGGGCACGTGTGTGTATGTATGTGCCCAGAGTCCTGACAGGATGGGGAAATGGAAGAAAAGGGATTGCAGCATGACCATCTGGCATTAGGGCATGCTCTTCCCTCTCCTTCTCTCTCTGTCTCTTTCTAGAGCGTGCACACGCCCTCTGGAAAATTATAAATAAACAAATGCAAAAGGACTGGAAATAATGCAAATGCCTACCAACTGGGGCCTCTAGAAGAAGGAGTACAGCAAAGGAAGAGGAAGCTCTTGGTGTGTTGATAGGAAAAGCCTCTAAGACATATAGTTAAGTGGAGAAAGCCAGATCACAGAACAGTCTCTATCAAATGCTACTATTGAAGTGAAAAAAAAGAGTGAATGTGCGTGTGTGTGTGTGTGTGTGTGTGTGTGTGTGTGTGTGTGTTTATACTTATATATGTAGACACCTGAAAATATATTTATATTTGTGGACATTCAGTCATAAGTACATATGGCATGTACATACAAGTTGGTAAAATTAGTCCAAGAAATGGATAATATTAGTAGTCATCTATAGGAAGAACTAAGCAGCTGGGGCACTGTATACCTCATTTATACATTTAAGGTCTTGAATTAGATAAATAGATCTGTGTTTACATTAAAAACTAATAATAATGAGGGAAAAGATTGCTGTGAACAGAGATTTCATCAAGCTGTCTTCCAGCACTGCTACTTCTAAGTGTCAAAGACTATGAGCATGATCCTGACTAAAGATTATCAATTTGAGTTTTTTGGGTAACCTTTTATTTTGAAATAATTACAGACACACAGGAAGTTTTAAAAATAATAAAATAGTATAAAGAGTCCCATGGACCCTTTGCCCAACATTCCCCAATGGCGACATTTTATATTGCTGTTATACAATATATTTCAGAACTAGGAAACTGGCATTGGGAAGCTGTAAATAGTCTCCACATCTGACTCTAAAGGTGACTTAAAATATAACTATCTTGGGCTGGCTCCATGGCCTAGTAGTTAAGGCAAATGGATCACATGTGACTTTTGGATCTAGTGGGTTGAAAAACACACCAGGTGTATGTACATGCACGCCCAAAATCCCAGAAGGAGAGAGATGGAGAAGGGATTGCAGAGTGACCATGTGTCATAAAGGTGGTGGTGTGTGGGGTGGTGGTTCTTGATTTCTTTCTCTCTCCCTCTGTCTTTAACTCTCTGGCTCTCTGGTGAGTGTAAACGTCCAACAGCACTAAAAAATTGTCTATCTACCTACCTATATATATACATGTATATATATATACACACACACATATATATACACAGACACATACATATGTGTGTGTGTGTGTGTGTGTGTGTGTGAATGAAACCATCTCACAGCTTACTCATTCATGTAAAACTGTTGAGCACCTTCAGTGTGCCAGACATGGCATGGCATTGGATGATGAGATGTGGTGGGCACACCTCAGACTCACCCCTGTCCTCATGGTGTGCAGACTAGTGAAGATGCCCCTTTTACTCAAGTGGGAAGAGTCTCCTGGAGGCCCAGGATCCACCAATACACAAAGAGTACTGATCACAGCTCTAAAAAAGGAACCATGTCCTTTGCTGTCCTGGTCATGGAGCTTCACAGCTTGCCCAAAAGCTGACTTTGAATCCTTAAAAGAGCATGAGCAATTACTCCAGCTATATTTATCCTGGTTCCTGGAGCCACACAGGGATTTGGCCTCACTCTACCAAAATCTTCAGCTCATCACTCATTCCCATTAGGGACAGTCACGTGTCCTCAGCATAAAGGAGCAGGCCAGCGGAGGCACACTGGCTCACGGCTTGGGGAGCTCTTGGACAAGCCATTTGGCCCAGGGCCAGGGAAGAAGTCTTAAGTACCAGGCAAAAAGTATATCTTGGACCAAGGGAAGTCAAATGAGGAGAAGCAGCTTCTTGCCAAGAACACTGCCAGCCCTGGGGTTGATTGCTGGGTGGCCTCATTGGGAATTTTGGCTTTACTGCCCCTTTTATACGGAGGGTCTCTGTGAAATATTCAACCCTGAGTAGGCCCGGGATGAGTAAGTGAGCAAGTAAAAGGCCATACCAACAGAAATTGCATCCAAACAGCAAGGACAGTTGTCATTTAGTGATAAGCACTGCTCAGCCACTTTACATACATG